AGCAGGTTGCTGAGCCCCCAGGTGTGCCAGAAAACCAATGGACATGGGAGTCAATGGACCTTGAGTCAGTGTACTGGATATTGTGGTGGCTGTAATGCCACTTTTGTGTTTAATGTCACTTTATAAGCAGGTCTGGCCCTTGCAAAGGGACATGTAGCAGGTGATATTGGACTTGGTCATAGCTGCAGTACTGCAAAGCTCTAAGTGCTGGCATGTGCAATGAGGTGGCCCTAGTGTTGCAGACCCTTAAGGCTAGTCTGTAGGGCTAAATGCAGTGTGACTGTTCGTGAAAAAAGTCCTGCTGGATCCCAAAAGCATTTGGGGAAAGGTAGGAGTAATTCCTGCCTGAAGATGGCTTTTTTTAAACTATTCCATCCAGTGAATGTAAAGGGACAGCTTTTTTAATGCATAGGTTCTGAAACGAGTGACTTTTTTAAAGGATTTATAAAATGTTTACGTGGCTGTGAACACTGCTTGTAGTGAGATTTCTTCAGAGTACAGTGTGTTTATGCAGAAACCTGAAACACCGCACTACTTGCATGTCTGACCTGCCTTTTCAACAGTTTGGTTGAGTGTGTTTCAAGCTCTAAAATGTGCCTTTGTTCAATGCAAGAGGATGGTCCTTCACATTCCTGAAATCTTGCTTGTAATGACAAATGTTCATCTGTCATATTTGATAGATTATTGTATTACAGATTTACTTTTTGTACAAATTTCTAGAAATAAACTGGAGCAAAAATGAGTCGGTTGCTTTTTCTTCAGTTGTGTAGTGGTGTATGAGCTGGGGGACATGTTAGTTGTTTGTGTAATAGCAGCTGTGCCCTGACTTTGAAGGGGATGAAGCTGCTTTGCAGTTTTATTTGGGAGAACCTGGATGGGGTAAGTAAACTGTACATATTTAAGGGACTCTTCTTTTTTTCCCCTGTGAGCTTGCAAGGAGCTAAGGAACCTTTGAAGGGGACGAAGCTGCTTTGCAGTTTTATTTGGGAAAACCTGGATGGGGTGAGTAAATCTGTACAGTTTAAGGGGCTCTTTTTTTCCCTGTGAGCTTGCAAGGAGCTAAGGAAGTCTGTCTCTGGGCTTCCAAAGTTCATGCCCTATCACTTCTTTTTGGCAAACTACTTTATTTTTGTCACTGCCCCCCAGATAAGGAGCTGGAATTGCATCCCTGACCCCTGGGCTGAGGAGATACAGACCAGCTCCTGTTTGAGCCTCTACCCTCCTTTTTGCTGGAGGTGCAAAGTACTCCAGAAATAGCACATGCCACCCTAAAGTTCATGCAGGCTCTTGGGTTCAACACTCACTTGTCACTGTCATTTGGAGGGGGGCTGCAGGTTACATAAGTCCAACAATGTTGTCTGACTTTCACAGGCTTAAACTTGCTAGGCTGACATATCCATTTTTCAAGGTGAAAGCCAAATTTGCTCATGGCAAAGGATATTTCAAAGCCCTCTGCTCTAACATAATGTGTATTTTTTTTTCCCTTTCTATTTTTTTTTGCTAGCAGCTATCAAGTTTCTAATGCCTTGGCTGGAAGCACACAAGGAAAGCTGTGCTGCTGGGAGCAGAGCCCTTGAGTGCTCTGCTCCAAGCCCTCTGTGCAAAGCTGGGGGAGGTCAGTCCCTCTGCAGAGCTTTCTCCAAGCAGTGTGTTTAATTATCAAACCACCTCCCCTGGAGCAAGGGAGGGTTTCCTTCTAAATAAGGAGCTATTCCTTCAAAGAGCTCTGCTAAAGAGAGTCCTGCAAACCATCCCTTCTGCAAGATGGGGGTTAGTGCTGCTCACACCTCTTAGCTCTGCAGGAATGGGGTCTGTAGTCCCCTTAGCTAAGGTCTGAGACTGGCATTGAATGGTTTTTCCCTCAGACTGGCTTAGTGCCAGCTTGAAAAGGGCCCTTTCCCTTTGTTTGATCTGATATGTTGTCCAAGATGCCAATCTAGGATATACTCATTCCAAAAGCAAACACCCCTCTGAGCTGATTGTGTGAGATAAAGGGCTTCCTCCAAGCTGTTTTCACAGAATCCCAAAATGGTTGAGGTTGGAAAGGACCTCTGGAGATCATCTAGTCCAACCCCCTGCTCCAGCAGGGACACCCAGACCATGGGGCACAGGGTGGCATCTAGGAGGGTTTGGCAGATCTCCAGAGCAGGAGACTCCACAGCCTCTCTGGGCAGCCTGTTCTAGTGCTCTTTTTTCCGGCAATGACTTTCCTTTCTATCACCAGTCTCAGGAGCATAAGGATATTTACTTAAAATTATTTTTTTTGATTTATGGTATGTTTCATTGCACAATGAATCTATTACTGCGGGTCTTGACACAAAGTCAGAAATGCCTATGTAGAAGACATGGTTGTTTCTGGGGGTGCAGATACTGCATCAAAATGGCATCACTTATGTTCTTGTCTCCTTCTTGTTGCCCACATGTCTTGGGCCATAAGTAGAGATGAGCTCCTGACCAGGATAGACCAGTGCTCATAAAGCTGCTCTTGGATTTTTTTTGCTTGTTTTAAAGAAATGGGCACTTTTGCTTTTTGATGCACCCTTGTCAGAGCAACATTCTCTTCCTCTGCTTTTGCATTGAGGAGTTGCAATTCATTTGATATCAAAGTGCTTTGGCATGTCTCTAGGCCTCTACGACCTCCCTTGCCTCAGTGTCACCCCTTGTTGTTCATACATTTAAATGGTTTCTGCCCTATTTTGCCCCCTTTGCCTCAAATCAGAATGCTTTCCCTGGTGACTAGATCCAGAGCAAGAAATGATAGACTTAGTGGGAAAAAAAAAAAAGCATGGCAAAAGGATGCAGGTGACCTGCACTGAGCCCTGCCTTGACTGTCCTGAGTGTGGTCTTGCTGATCCACAGTTTCCCTGTCTCTAAAGTGGTGATATTTTCTCGTGCAGTAGAATGTCAAGAGGATAAATGCTGCAATCCCACCAGCTTTCTTTGATAGCTACATTAATTCAAACAGTAAAAGTGCAAGAGTGTCATCTGTGCTGCTTAGGAGTGTGGGTTTAAATAGCCTGTTGGATTCAGCCTGAAAGCGAAGCAATGTCTATTAAAACTGGTGGGGAAAAGGAAAAAAAAGAGCACATGCTGCCCTCAAGAGGTGTCTGTCTGTAACTCCATGGTTAGGGGGAAAAAAAGAACATTTTGGGGAAATTCCAGGGAGCAATGTCGAGAAACCACAAACGCAGCCTGGAAAGCCTTTGAGCTCGGAGGGGGCACAGAGCAGAAGTGGATGTGTTCCTCCCTGGATCAATATTTTGTCAGGTTAGCACAAGGAGCAGTACCACAAGGAATAACAAAGGAATTTCTGCGTCGCGAAGCCTTCTAAGCTTCACGCTGTAAAGCGATCCTCAGGAAAACTGTGCTAGCTGGCAACAGCTCCGTTAGATGAGGATTTTTTCCCTCTGAGAAAACATCTTGATGACTGCAAGAATGGGTGATTTCCTGCCTGCTTCTGCCAGGGGTTGAGGAGACCACCTTCGTTTTGCAGCCAGAAGGGCAGGAAGCAAAAGGCTGATGCAGAACTCGTTCTGCTCCGCTTTGTGGTTATTTTTTCTTCTTCTGCACTGGGGATTTTGTGCTATAAAAGAAGCTATTTGCACTCTATTCATGGCCCGGTCACTGACTGGTGCTCTGGTTTCTCTCAGATCCGATCCACTCTTGCTGTCTGTTCTTAATATATCCCTTTCAGTTCGATCTAGTTTGCACAATGCCAGATAATCCTTGTATCATCTTTGATCTGCCCAAATATTGGCTTCCTGCACTGTGATCTTGTTCTTTCTGGGTGGCATCCCCCAAAAACCGCTCCAGTTGGAGGTTCCTTAATACAAACACCGCCATCTCATAAACTTCTCCAAGTCAGGCATCAGAAAGAACTAGATCGACACCTATTTCTATTCTCTCCTCCTGAAAACGTGAAGTTTTGGAAAACCAGCTCAGCTCCCGACATATTAAGTTGTCCAGCCAGAGTTTGTCACACAGTTCGATAGTTCAATGCCAACAGATGTTGTCCATCTTGTCCATCATGAGCTTTTTTGGCCCATAATGCTGGCAAAGCATGAAGAGCAGTCAGCGTACATCCTGACCATGGGTATCTCCCAATGTGGGACTC